CGCCGCACTTCTTCTGCTCCAGATCCTGCTCCTAGAGGTGAGGAAGTCTCGCCAGGTGCTGGGAAGAGAGGCTCAGGTGGGGGGACCCAGGCCCATGCCACCTAGACCATCTGTTTGTTGCCTCTTGACAGCTTCGGGGGCCAGGTGAGCACGCCTGGCCAGGCTCCTCGATCTCTGCTCACTGTGGTCTATGGCAGAGACAGCCTGACCTGGGGGCTACCTGCATTCCCTGCCCCCTCCCCTGGGCCACCTCTCTCCCCATCCAGCCCCTCACCTGTGCACAAGACTCAGCGTATGTGAAGGGCATGGCTGGGCTTTGGAATCAGGCACACTTACTAGCTGTGTGACCTTGGGGGAGTTACCCAACCTCTCTGACCCTCTATGTTATCATGTACACTAAAAAAACAGATATTTAAAGGGGTGAGATGAATATCAATAGGAGTTGTATTTTTTTTTTCCAGTATAGGGGATTGAACTCAGGGCCTTGCATTTGCAAAGCAGTCATGGAGCCACTGAGCTAAATCCCTGACCCAGGAGTTGTATTATTTTATTCCTACACCCCAATAGATTATTAGGCACACCTCACTTTGGAGCCCACTCTAAAAGACTATGATTGTTAAAACTGTTGATAAAGTCTTTTAGATTTCAGGCTGTGCTGGTCAGCATGGGCTTTGACTTCAAACTTCCAACTTCAAATCTCCAACTACTGCCTGCTCACTGGCCTCTGATCCATGGACTGGGCCTGCCTTTTCTCAGCTCTAGGTATTTATTTTCAAAGTAATTGTTTCTACTCCCATCCCTCCTCCAAACTCCCTCCCTCCTAGGGGCGTTTGGTGACTTCAGCCGTCACTATAAATCTCTTCCAATGTTCTCATGTATTTTACTCATTCAACTGGTTTTATTGAGCACCTACCATATTTCCATCATTGGCTTTCAGTGTCTTCCCCTCCTCTGACCTCATGCCATCTACCAGCTAAGGTTAGACATCAGTGGTCACACACTGCTTGGCATTGAGCCCCCTCAAATGCTGTGCTCAGCCACAGTGGTCAAGGTGTTCTTTGTGCCTGAGCTGTCTGCCTGTATTAGTCAGTATAAGCAATATTAGCTCTTGTAACAAACATCCCCAGCATTTCAGCTGAAAAGCACAATACAGGGTCACTTCTTCACATCACAGTGCAATATGGGTCAGGTGGACCTCTTTCAGTTGGCGACATGCCATTCAGGCCCCTTTCATCTTGTGTTGACCCTGTCTCCAACATTGGGCCACCACAATCACCATGGCAGTGGAAGGGAGAGCGTGGGAAGGTTGTCTGAGCTCTGCATTTGTCACTTCTCTCTACTCTGCAGTGGCCAGAAGCCAGGCAGACAGTCCCAGCCAACCCACAGGCAGACTTGGAATTGCAGCCTCCCTGCATACCCAGGAAAGAGGATTCGGCACTCTGCCCACAGTCAACACAGTGTGAACTTCCTGAGGGCGAGGAGCCCACACACAACTTCCTTGTATCTCACTGAGCCTCTTCCATAACTTCCAGCCTGCTCGCCCCTCAGTCCAGCACCCTGCCTTGTACCCGAGTGCAGTACCAGAGTGCAGTGTGGACCAGCTGGTGAGTGGGCAGGACGGGCTGCTCAGAGGAGAAGGGCTGGGGCCTGGCCGAGAGCAAGTCCTGCCTGCGTTAGCACATCCCACTTCCCTGGAGCCACACGTGGTACCTGGCTCATGGCAGTGTTCAGCAGGCATTTGTGGAATTGATGAATAGACGGATGGAAAGATTGGGAAACAGGCTCAAAAGAATGACGATCAGCCGGATATTTAGCTCAATGGTGCTGCCACCTGTCTGGCAAGCGAGTTCCATCCCCAGCACCAAAAAAAAAAAAAAAGAATGATGATCAAAGTTCAAAAAAAAAAAAAAAATGGTGGGGAAGACACGGTCCAAACCCAAGACAAGGAAGTCTTCCCAAACTTTACCTGGACCAGGAGGCAATGGCCTCCTGCCAGCCACCAGACTGCGTCCTTGGGATCCACCCAGGCAATGACAGTGGGCAGGGTGGGGTCGCCCGAGCTGGGGTTCACCCTGGCCCAGCCCTCTGGAGTTCCCCATCCTGGGGCAGTGATGATTCCTCCCTCCTGTGATTGGGATCTTTATGAGCTGGCTTCATTGGGGTTAATTACTATTGTGGCTGGGGTGAAATAGGGAGGAGCCTGCCCTGGCCTGGGGCAGGCACGGGGATGCTGTGTTGATGGGTATGGAGCCCTGGAGGGCTGGTGCCAGATGGGGGACACACAGGGCGGGTTAGAAAGGTGCCTCCTGCCAGCCAGTTCAGCCTTTCTATGCCCCACACCTGGGTGGGTCTTTGACTCTTCCGTATCCCTCACCCTTTTGTGCCACCCCCCTAAATCATCAAAGCCCCAGGGGGACCCACTCCCGGAGGCCACTGGCATTATTCACAGGGGTGGGGCTGGGTGAGCTGGGAGAGAAGTGGCCTGGCTCAAGGCTCAAATCCTGGCCAGCTGAAGCTGCACTGGGGCTCTGAGCTCCCCAGGCTCCGGCAAGGACAGGGCCACCTCCATGGTGTCTCTGCATCGACCTCACCTCCAAGGACCCTCCATCCAGCCTTCCCAGGCCTGCCTCTGTTCTGCAGGGATGAAGCCAGGTAAGTGACAGTCTAGGGAGGCAGGAAGTGAGGGGGTGGGGATGGGGACCAGGCAGGATCTTCCAGGAACCCTGCTGACCCTTCAAGGGCTGTCAGCCTCTCCAAGTTACCCAGCAACTTAGATCCTTGAAAACCCAGGGCTGGAACCGTGGGCCTCGCAGACTCCCTATGGGTGAGCTGTTCCGGGGGAGGCCTGGTCCCTCCCCTGCATCAGGGTAGCACCACTGTCCCATGTGGGGTACAGACAAGACTGGTGGGGCCGGTACCAGGGCTGGAGGAGGAGTGAGGGCTGCAATTCTTGCACAGGGTGGAGAAAAACCAAGAGCAACGTCAAGAGCCAGGCGCTGGGCTCAGACACACCGAGGTCTGGTCCCTGCTGGGCAATCTTGACCCCTCTGAGGCTCAGTTTTCTAAGAGGGTGAGTAGGAGTGGGCACCGATGATGCTGCCCACCTCCCTGGGTTCCTGGAGAGGGCAGTAACTGTACTGTGTTCTTGTGCTGTGATTATGCATTATTATGTTGAATTGTCGACACGATTTACACCTAACATATATTGAAAACACCTTCACACTCTCTATTCTTCTCTCTTTGTGGCCTGTTTTCCCTCAGGTATGTGTTTCGTTGTTGTCTTTTCTTTTTCAGAATCCAGGGTCTTTTACAGACTCTTTTTTTATTAATAACTTTGAGACAGGGTCTTCCAAAGTTTTTAAGTGGCCTAGGCCAAGCTCAGACTTAAAATGCTCCTGACTCAGCCTCCCAGCACACGCTATGGCACCCAGTGCGCACTCTCTCTCTCTGCGGGGGGGAGAGCTGGGGACTCAGGGGCGTGGCGACCTCCCCCAGCTCGGCTCTGTAGTAGAGAACAGGCTGTGCAGAAGGTGTGGCGTTTGAGGACAACCCAGCATGTCAGACTTCTCTGCCACTGGCTCAGGGATGCCCAAGCCTTGCTGATGCCCATGAGCCCACCCCAGCCCCATGTCCAGGGCTGTTCTTCCACCTGAGGAGTGTGGGGCCTGAGCTAATACTTTACATTATCCTCACAACTTGCCTGTAGTGGAGGTTTGATTCTCCCCATCTACAGCTGGGAATGGGAGGCATGGAAAGGAGAATTCACCTGGAAAGCAGCAGGGCTGTGGGTTCCAGCTGGACCCTGCAGCCTGGGGGAGGTTCCACACCACCCCCTCAGTACCCTGGGGACCCCACAAAGTAGACTTGTCTCAGGCCCTGCCTTCTGGAACATTGGTCCTTCTCCCTCAGCCTACTACCTCCCCACAGGCGTGAGAACCCCAACAAGCCAGTCACCCACAGAGAAGTTAGGGGAAACTTTACAGGACCCCCATTCAGGATGGGGACAGTGTAAAGGAGCGGAGGGTCCAGAAACTTCAACCTTGCAGTCTGAAGGAGCTGGAACCCTAAAAATAGATAATAAGCAGGAGTCAGGGCCTAAAAATAGACTTTAGACAAAGCAAAGGAGGCCTCATGGGTGTGCGCACGTGTGTGCGTGCCCGTGCATGCACACACACACACCCCTCTCGTGGGAAGTGTGGAGGTGGTGAATCTAAGACAAATGAACAAAGCCACTTTGTAGAGACACACACTCAGCTCACAAACAGCACCTTCCAGGGATGCTCTGGACCCGCCATGCCCACTGACAATGTCCTCACCCACATCACACACACACACACACACACACACACACACACACACAAACACACACACACAGTAGCAGCCCCATTTGGGGAGATCCAGGGGAGAAGGCTCAGGGAGTGGGGTAGAAGAGGCTGGGTTAGCAGGAAAAGAGTCAGTGTTTGGGGCTCGAATCCCACTGCCCTAGGATCTCTGTGCTTGGGCTGGGGAAATGATTCAGCTGCCCATGTCGGGTGTCCTTATCCAAGAAGCGGGGCAACGGGACCATTTTCATGGCTTTGGGGAACCTGGTATGTAGAAAGTGCTAGTTTCCTGCTTAAAGGGGCAGCTAGCAGCATGCAGCATCGAGAAAGGGAGAGACCGATACCTTGGCCTGGGCACCCCCTACCAGGCCATCCCCCCTTCCTGCCCCTAGTTGCCACACCTACAGAATGGAGCTTATAGATAATGCTTGCTTGTCCTTGCCTACCTTCAACTTGAAGACCCAGTACTGGGAGGCACAGATTCATTCTGCCAGACAGAGGAGCCTCTGGGGGGTGATGGGAGGGGTGCTGCTGTTACCCCTACTCTGTCTCCTTTCTGAGAACCCCCCTTCTCTGACCACCAGGGGACCTCTGGGTATTGCTGGGCTGCAGTGGAGCAAGCTTCCCAATGTGTGCATCTCCAGAGGGGAGAGAGGATCCATCCAACCCTCGAACACTTGGCCAGGCAAACCCAGGGAATGAATAAGCCAGAGTGAAGCCAGACATGATGGGAGGCCGAGCAGAAGGTTCACAAGTTTTGAGCTCAGCCCTGGGAATTTAGCAACTTAGCAAGACCCTGTCTCACTGTGTAGTGCAGGCTGGCCTTGAACTCACTTTGTAGCCCAGCCTGGCTTCAGACTTGTGGCAATCCTCCTGCCTCAGCCTCCTGAGTGCTGGGATTATAGGCATGCAACACCAAGCCCAGCTCAAAAAAAATTTTTTTAAAGGGATGGGGATGTAGAACAATCCAAAGTCCCTCAATTCAATCCCGAGTGCTGGGGGATAAAAAGAAAGGCAGAGGGAGTAGAGTAGAACAAGGCCCTCAGAGTCCGGCTCTGTGGGGCTTTCTTGGCTCAGCAGTAGCATGGCCCAAGCCCTTTCTCTAGAGTGGGCAAGGACGGCTCTGAATGGACTTCTCAGACATTTCTTCCCCTCAGGCTCCGAACCCCGTGAGGCCTTGTCATTCAGCAATAAAATCCAGGTAAGGGCTCGCACAGAGGACTCGGACCGGCCAGTACAGTTCTAGAATCAAACTGACCCTGTTTGTGTTCTCACCTGCGTGTGACCTGAGCAATGGCCTAGTGTCTATCCTCAGCCTCCGTGTTCTCCTCCATCAAGCGTGTATACCATGCTGGACATGGTGGTGCACGCCCGTAATCCCAGCACTCAGGAGGCTGAGGCAGGAAAATCGTGAGTTCAAGGCCAGCCTGGGCAACATAGTGAGACTCAGTCAAAAGAAAGAGAGAAAGGGAGAAGTAAAGGAAGAAAGAGAATGAAAAGAAACAATACATAAATAATGATGATACCTTGTCATTATTAAATGAAGTTGTCGTGAGAACCACTTGAAACTACATGTCTGAAGTGCTGACACACAGCAGGTGCTCAATAAATGCTCGGATGCCATGATGAGGCTTCACTGTCGGGGAGGCAGCCTGTCCAGACTGGAGTTCTGGCTCTGCCACCTCCCAAGGATGTGGGCTTGAACATATTTTACAAACATGGCCTCTGAAAATCAGGATTGCGGAGAGGCAGATATTCCAGAGAGCGCAGCCAGACTCCATTCCCTGTAGCAAGTCTCTACCCAAACAGAGCTCTAGCAGTTTGCAGTTGCAAGCTGCACGTTAGGCACTTTTCTTCCATTCACTTCAGTGAATAAAAACCAGAAATAACAATATTGCTGAAGCATCTGGGCCACAGTAAGTGTAGCTCTCCCTAGCAACCAGAGTCCAGACCCGGTGTGGACACCTGGGCTGCACACCTACTCTGTGCCAGGCAATCTCACCATAGCCCCGAAGGAGAGCAAGTTGATGTCCATCTTGCAGAAGTTACATTATGTGACTTAGCTGATCTGGGACCTGAACCCAGGCCTCCTACCATTTCCCATGGAGCTCAGATGTCCCTTCAGGGCTTTTCACACTGGGTTCCCAGGGATGCCCCAGAGGCTGCCAAGGAGGTGCAGGGCTGAAGTAAGGGAAGGAGAAGGGCCTTCAAAGAGGGGCTGGGTCACAGGTTTCAGCTGACAGATGGGGCGAGAATGGGGAGAGGAATAAGGAGCTCAAGCAAGTAGGAGACAGATTCAGAGAAGGATGCCAAGAGAGACTCGGGCCTCGAGAGAAGAGGTGATATTTAGAGGAGCAGGAGAGAAGAGCAAAAGACCAGCGGCCTGGCATCATGGGGAGAAATGGGACAAAGAGAAAAACAAAAACAAAGGGAGGCAGGTGGGCTCCCTGGTTGGACAAAATGCTTCTGCCAGTCTCCCCCGCCCCCATCTTGCTGGCTGGAGACACGGAACTTTAGTCCCCTCAAACAGCCCCCAGCACTCTGATCCTGGTTATCTCTCAGTCCGGTCCCCCAAGGCAAGGGGGTGTTGTGGTCAGGGTGCTCCCGCCCCACCTCAGGCTGAGCCTGACTCCTACCCAGGACTCAGGCACACCAAGGTCAAGAGGACTCAAGATCAAAGTCATTTCACAACAAAGGCGCAAGTGCATGGGGGGCCCAGGCAGCACTGTGGTCAGGCACGTGAATTTCAGCATGGGGGGATCTCCCTTTGATGCCTGGCAGCTCTGTCACCTTCCAGGGCAGGTTCTATCACTGTCTTGAGTCTGTTTTCCCACCTGTAAAGTGGGGATAATAATGGTAATGTAGCATTTGCTCTATAGGCCAGGGTTGTGGTTTTATTGTGAAAGTTAAATGGCTACACAGTGCCTAACATAGCACCTGCCTCTTTATAAGCTCTCAACCCTCTGACCTTAAAAACTTGAAAGCCCAGCCCTGGGGACAGAGGCAGCCTAAGTGACCCAGGTCAGGGAACGTAAATCTTCCTTAACAAAACACTACACGGCCAGGGATTTAGCTCAGTGGTTCTGCCGCTTGCCTCAAAAGCGCAAGGACCCGAGTTCAATCCCTGGTACTAAAACACTACGCAACCTCTCTGTAATACTCTATCAACAGAGTGGGGCTAACATTCAGCCTCACCTGCCCCATTCCACAGGGGCAGGGAAAAGCTTTTGATAAATTATAAAATTCAGGTAGTGGCATAAGAGGGTGACGTCCCTTCCGGAAAACATCCCTGGCTCCTTTGGGCACCCCAGGAATAGCCCTGGCCTTCCCAAGCCTCCCATTGTATGGGGGTCCAGCCCTGGCTAGCTACCTATTCCCTAGCAACTGGCTGTTGTTGACAATGCCCCCTAGTGGTCTGGCCAAGATGTCTCTTGTGCTGCCCCCAGCAAGCAAGGGTGGGCGGTGTTGGGGGGAAGGGGAGTTCATTCTCAGATTAGCCTCTGAAGCCAAGGCTGCTCCCGGGGACTATGTAGGACCCACCTACTGGGTGGTTTTGCCAACCAGAAGTGCAAGGACTTCCCTGGGGCCATTCTCAGACCAACAATAACCATGATCATTATTAACTGATGTGCACTAAATATCAGGTGTGTGCTAAGTGGTGTATAAGCATTATCATTCCACCCTGCTAATAACCTATGGGGTTCACACTATTATTAAAAACGCTGATTTGATATATGAGAAAACCGAGTCAGAGAGGTGAGTAACTTACCTAAGGCCACACAGTGGGGGGGACTGACCAGTTTCCCTGTCCAGATCTGCCCTGGGTCCTGCTACTCCCCCACCTGGACTTATTCCAGAGAAGGTGATAGGAGCACTCACTGTTGGAACAGGGGTGCTGTGCTGCTGGGGCTGGCCATAGCATGGAACAGGAGTCTGTGGGAACCACATACGGCATCTGGGGACCTAGCTCCATTTGCCCATATGACTTTGGCCAGCCCCTCCTTTCTGGGTCTCAGTTAGCTCATCTGTAAAATGAGAGGGTTGGGTCACATCCCATGGAAGCTTTTCCTGCCTCTGATTCATTCCACACCCCCATCTCCATCAAACTGGTAGTCTCGTTTGTGGTGCATTAACTTCACAGCAGTCTAACCAAAGCTTCTTAACTTGACATCCCAGGACCTCCTGAGACTCTTTGGCTCCATGAGCTCCTGGGAGTTGTGAGCAAATTGCATAGAAGTGTGTGCGTGTGTACTCTGTGTGTCCAAGTGTGCATATTATTCCCTGATTCAAATCCTGAAAGGCTAAGAACCATTGATTTTTCTAAACTTTTAGCATTTCCTTAAATTTAATGTAAATTTTTAGGGAAATGAGTCAAGAAAGTTGAGTTGGAGGCTGGGGATGAAGCTCAGTGGTGCAGTGCCTGCCTGACAAGAGCAAAGTCCTGAGTTCTATCCCTGGTACCAAAAAAAGAATGAAAGTTGAGTCCTAACTCAAGCAAGTTGACAGTAAAATTCTCTGCTTGTGTCTGAAGTCCCGCAGGCTTCCTGAAGGCTCAGCACCTACTGCCAGCCCCCAGGCTTCCACATGGAGACCCCTGACACCATTGCCTGCAGTTAATCTCTGCCTGGATGCTGAAGCTGCATCTGCCCTGTCTTGTTCTTTCGAGTTCTCCTCACCCCCTGTGCTCCCCTGGACAGTCCTGGCAAGGACAAGCAGGTCTTTCCGAAGGTAGGTGCAGTGACCAGGAGGGCCAGCAGGGGTCGCAGGGCCTGTGGGGCATGGGTGGGTAAAATTGCAATTTGTTGGTTCCCTTGGTGGCCTGGGTATGAGGAATGGGTGGCAGCAGTCTGGAGGCCTGTTTGAGGTCTGGCAGGATGGTGCTGTCTTCCCCTCTGAGAGCCTTAGTGGAGGGAGGTGGCAAAGAACCCCTGGATGGTTGCTAGGCAACCTTCCAGTACTGACATTCTGTGGCCCTTTCTGATTGATGCTTCAGGGAGGGGACTGTCTTGTGCTTTCTTTGGCAGAAGGCTGTTTAGGGAATAGATGCCTCCAGACTTGACTGAAAGGGGCATAGGTCACTGTCCACGCACTTAGGGGAGAAACAGACCCCTGGGAGAAAGGAAGGTTCTTAGGCATCCTGCCTGGCATAGTGGCACATGACTGTAATTTCAGCACTCTGGGAAGCTGAGGCAGGAGGATACAAGTTCCATCCCAGACTGGGCAGCTTAGCAAGACCCTATCTCAAAACAAAACCAAAACCAAACAAAACAAAACAAAGAGGACTGGGGATGCAGATCAGTGCGATGGCCCTGAATTCAATCCTCAGTGCCACAAAATTAAATTAAATTAAATTTTAAAGAATCAGGCACCCCAAGAGACACCTTGGGTGGGGAGCGAAAGGCTTCCCAGGGGTGACAGGGCCCAGAGCCTGGGTGACAGGCAGCAGCCCTCTGGGTTAGGGCTTCTGCCGGTCTCTAGAAGAGCCCGGGCAGCCCTGGTGAAAAGAGAGACAGCATCATCCTGCCCTCGGCTGCAGCAGGTCCCCGAGTCACACCTGAAGCCTGGACCACCCTCCTTGCTCAGCAGTTGGGGACCCTCCTGGCCCTGTTCTTAATCGTCTCTCTCCAGCAGTTCCTTGTTCTAAGCCCAGCTGGCACAGCAGGCAAAGGCCCAGGGATGCTGGAGGGGGAGGGGGTTCGTGCAGATGCTCGGAGGATGGGAGCTGGAGGACCCCTGCAAGGAACAGGACTGGTCTTCACAGGCCCACAGACCCTCTGCCCTCCCACCCTCTCACTCTGCACCCCACCCTCCTCTCACCCACAAATGACTGAAGAACAGGACACAGGCATGACAATGACATAGAACTTTCTCTGCAAAACGTGTAATGCGCCTGGAGGTGGGGTTGGTGTATGGTGGCGGGATTCAGACCTGGCCCCTCCACGCACTGAGAAGTGGGGGTGGGGGAGAGCAGCAGCATCCGGGGCTCTCAGAGAAAGGTAAGTCGGCACTTGGGGTGGCCCAGAGGCCCAGAGGCAGGGAGAAGGGCTAGGGTGTTGGGCAGTGAGCCCTCAGTGTCCTGCAGCGGGAGAGGGACCCCCTCCTTCACAATGCCAGCTCTGGTCGTAGGCACAGATGGGCCCCTCACTTGGACAGGCCAATGAGACCTTCGGGGGCTCTTTCCCAGCCCCAGCCAAGGGGGCCCAGGGAGGAGCTGGGGGCAGTGGCCATCTCCCAGCACAGCTAACACCTGTGTGGGGTGTGCTTGTGCTCACACAGGGTCCACAGGGACTCCCACCTCTGTGACCTTGGTCTATTGGACCCGCTGAGCTGGCCCTTGTCAAATCTCATCACCACACAGAGCTGGGATACAGTGAGCTCTTCCCTGCTTCCCACCATCCATAAACATCACACAGCGGCCCAGCCCTTCCAGGCCTCAAGGGAAACCCCTCCAAACATACACTTGTGCTCATGTGCACAGGCACACCCACGCACGCGCACACACACACAACCCTAGGGCCTGGGCACAGTCCACAGTGCAGATTGCCCACATCCTCAGCCTCCCTCCTTAGGATCTGCCCACACCCAGCCCCCGGCTGTGCTCAGCCCCTGCCTGTCTGGGCCTGGAGATTCTAAGGCAGTTGGCAGATGCCATTCTCCAGAGAGCTGTGCCCACCAGGCCTGGGGACCATAATACTGTGGCCTGTGGCCCTAGCACCATGTGTTCAGCGCCCTGGCCCTCTGGGCCTCTGAGCCAGCCTGGTCCTCCAGCTCCCACCGTGGCTGGTGGTCTTCTCTTGTGTGGGGACAGGGTGGGGGTGAAAGGGAGGGCATTTGGCTGAAGAGTCTGGTGGGAACCTCCTCTCTGGGGCTTACAGAAGGGGAGGCAGCCCAAACTCTTCCCTTCACGTAAAAAGGAGGAGGCAAGCAAGTCTCTAGCCTGAGAGGATGGGCCCCTCCAAGGAGGACTGGGGAGGGAGCAGGAAGACCGTGCACCTGAGACAGGCCGTGTTCCCCCAGCTCTGATGTCATCCAGTCCCTGGTGTGAAGCAGCCCCAACCAGGGGCTGGAGTTGTACAGATCCACACGTGCTTCAGCGGCACTCATGTAGGGTGGCCCAGGGTCGCAGGAACCCTCGGAACTGGTGTTCTGGGATCCTCCTCTGGACACCTCCAGGCCACACGCTCTGCTCTGTATGTGGGCAGGCTGAGGGAGATGACCCACTTGGTCCTTGCTCCTGGGGAAGAGGGCAGCAGGGCTGGCAACTGTGGGGACCCTGCAGGCCCGTCACGGGTTGTGGCAACTTGCGATTCATTTTGGTCTCAGGAGAGGAACCCCGGGTTATCTGTGGAGGAAGAGACAGACAGAAGCAGGCCTTAGAAGACAGCCTTCAAAGGCATCGTTTTCAACAGAGGACCAGCCACTTTGATGACCCAGCCTCCCTGACGGCCAGGCTGATGGTCAGGGATGGGGGACACTGACTCCCTGTTTCTCAAGCTGTAAAGCACACTGCTTCCCCAAACTCAGCACTGCCTGCTCCGGCCACGCAGAGTAAAGGCCACGGATTCCAAGAGTGGGGGCAGCACTGGTTGGGCTTGTGGGGTGTGGTGGGGAAGGGGAGGGGCAGGGACCAACCCACAGGAAGACCAGTATGGTGGCAGCCCTGGGGAGCTGCGGTGGCTTCGTCCTCTCCCCAGTAGCAGGGACTGCACCCAGGCTCTTCACCCTGAGGTACATCTCCAGTTAGTTTTAGTTTTATTTGGAGACAGGCCCTGCCTCACTAAGTCACTAAACTGCTCAGGCTGGGCTTGAACCTGGGATGGTCCCTCCGCCTCCCAGTACTCTGAGAGTACAGAGGTGCCTGTGCCCAGCTTGTCTTGGCTCTTTGAACCCGACAGCTCTGCCCCCAATGCTGCTGCGGGCTCCACTGTCAACATCTGCTCCTGGTCCTGGCTGCAGGGCTGGGGACAGCAGGTAAAACATCTGCCTTCTGCAACTAGGCAGTTGAGACCTACTGGTTGGCACACCCTCCATCTCACAGGAGTCACCTTGTCCCCAGACGCAGGGAATGGCCTGTGTCTTCCAGAGCCACCCAGACCAGGGACCAAGCCCTACTCCACACCGAGCAGAGGCAAGGTCTGAGGCGAGTTATCTAATCCCTCAAGCCTCCATTTGCTCATGCCTCGTACAATGGTGACCTGGTCACTGCACAGGGGAGCGGCGCTTGCTTCAGGACACAACCCAGGACCTGGAAGGTGAAAGGGCTCAAAAACATCCTCTGATTAGACTACCATATTTCACGGACACTAAAGACAATCATTTTCCCACATTTTGATATCTCTAGAATGGAGGCACATTTTACAGCAGCTGTGATTTTAAAATCCTCCTGTCAGCCAGGTGTGATGGTGCATGCCTGTTAATCTCAGCACTCTGAGAGGCTGCAGAGAGGATCAAAAGTTCGAGTTCAGCCTGGGTAACTTAGCAAGACCCGGTCTCAAAACATGAAAAAAGGAGTTGAAGATGTAGCTCAGTGGAAAGGCCCTGGGCTCAATCCCAGGACTGCAAAAATAAATAAATAAATAAATAGCCTCCCGTCGTCATTAAGTTGGCAGCTTCTTGTAAGCTGATGATAAGTACAACAGTGAGGCCTCTCGTAATTAATGGCAGCTCAGATTTTATGAAATACGGTACCATGCCGCTCCCACTCCTGAAAAGGCGGACTCCTCCCTTTCCCAGGGACCTTCCAACCTCCACCCCTCACAAACAAACGGCCACTCACAGCTCCGTGTCCTCCAGGGCAGGCGGGCGCTCCAGAGCCTGCCTCCGCCTCCGCACGGCCCCCATGATCTTCTTGCGGGGCCCCAGGGGGACGCTGATGCTGCGCAGGTCGAGGTCTGAGCACAGCATCAGCGCCTCCAGGTCGATCTTCTCCTGCCTCAGGAGGGAAGCAAAGTCCTCCATGTGCAGCGAGGCCAGGAAGGTCTCCAGCGGGCTCGTATCGGGCTCCAGGTCCTCGTCCAGGCCCAAGTCCAGCTCGTCCCAGGGCAGCTCCTCCCCGCAGCTGCGGTCCTGTAGGCTGTTGGCACTGCCCAGGCTGTCGCCGTCCAGGCTGGGGGAGCTCTGCAGCCGACCCCGTGGCGTGCCCGTCCCGTCCAGGCCGCTGCTTAAGTAGTTCCTGCGGAACACCATGGTGCCCAAGCCGGGGCGGGTAAACAGGGAGTCGTGGCCTGAGTCGGTGCTGACCTCCGAGTGGGCAGGCTCGGCCGCCAGCGTGGCACGGGAGACGCTGTCCTCGTCCGAGAGGAACATGTCCCGGAGCGGGGCGCGGCCCCACTCCTTGGGGTTGGCGTAGGTGCCCGGGCGCACGAACATCACGTCGCTGCCCAGCTGCAGGCCCGAGAGCGAGCGCACGCTCTTGCGCCCGTCCTCCGAGACCTTGAAGGTGCCCTCGCCGCCCTGCTTGCGACGCTCCAGCTTCCTCTGGATCTTGGTCTTGCCCCTGGCGGTGCCGTGCAGCGTGGCCTGAGAGTAGGGCAGTTGGCTGCCCAGCGCCAGGTGCTGCAGCCGGCGGCTCAGGGTGCTGGACGTGAGGCTAGAGAAGCTGAGCGCGTCCGAGCGCTCCGCCAGCTCCCGCCGGTAGCGCCGCTCCATGCGCTCGTGGTGCTTGCGCTGCATCTTGGCGCACTCCCGGATGCGCCGCTCCGCCTCGCGGAAGGCCTTGTCCTTCAGCTTGCCCACCAGCTTGGGGTTGAGGCTGCTCTGCTTGGCCGCGATGGAGTCCAGGTAGCGCACGCACTCCATGTGGCCCTTCATGGCGGCCATGTCCAGTGGCGTGTGGTAGTCGTTGTCCAGGCACCAGATGTTGGCCCCGAAGGACACCAGGAAGGACAGGCAGTGCAAGTGGCCATTGGCAGCTGCCAGATGCAAGGGCGTGTTGCCCCAGATGTCACACTTGTCCGGGTCACCCCTGCGGGGAGGAATAATGAGCCATTTTAGTGGTGGTGAGAGGAACCACCAGCCAAGGGTTCCCACCCTTGTCGAGCCTCCCCACACGCTCACGGGCCCCAGAGGAATCCTTGGGACTGAGATCTCTCCTCTGACTCCAGGGGATCTGCTGCTCCGGGATGGAGGGAGCCTGGAGAGAAACCGCCCAGCGCCCAGGGGCGGGGCGACAGAGAAGGCGGAGCCCAGGCGGGGCCTTTCCCCCAGAGAAGCCAGGGCTGGGAATCTCAGGGGATAAATATTTGATGCTCAGAGAGAACCGAGTGAATTATTCATGGGCCCAGCGGGGAGCTGGCCCAGAGAGGTGGTGGGCCAGGGCCGCGTCTGGGTCTCTAGGCAGGTGCGGTGAGTGTGGCCACGTGTAACAGGGTGATCAGGAAAGAGGACCAGAGGGTGGAGTGTGCTGGGCCCGAGCCTGGGTGAATGCTCGAGGGTGCGCTGCTGGGAGGCTGCCGCTGTGGCTGCGGGGAGCAGGGCCCGGCCTGGCAACGCCAGTGTTAGAGCAGGTGTCGGGTCTTGGCCCGGGCCAGGAGGGGACGGTGGGGGCGGCCAGGACTGGAGGGAAGGAGGAGGAAGTGGGGCCTGGCTGGGCTGCCCTCTCTTGCTCAGGCTGCCCTATCTCACAGGGCCCTCTAGGCTGGCTGCCTCCCCTAACACCCTCCTAGGCCGGTGCTGCCCCGGGGCAGCTCCCACTGCTCTTCACCAAGGCCAGCAGGGCAAGGTGGGGAGGGGCCACCCTGCCTCAGGCCCACAATCATACAGCATAAATCCTTGGCTCTGCAGGACTTGGGGGTTGGCACACCAAGGGAACTCTTCCCCTGCTGTCCCCCACAGAGACTCGCATGGGTGCAGGGTCACTGTGTGCCCTCCTGGAGTGAGGAGGAGCCAGTCAGTCCTGGCCTGGTGGAACATGTCTGGGTTTCTAATCTTAGGGGCTGCTCTCTGCTGCTGGGCCCAAGGAGCCCACATGAGGGAGGGGAAGGGGCTTCCCCCACCTACCACCTGCTCGAAGCCACACACCAGTGCCCAGCAGCAGGGCCAGAGACTGCCACATCAACTCTCCTGGGCATCCCTTCGGTCCCTTCTCCTGTCCAGGCCACCTTGGTATTTGCCCATCCAGGTGTTCAGCCCAGCCTAACTTCTCTTATCACACTGTTGCCAGGTGGCAAAATTGTTCCCAGTAGTGAGGTTTATCCCACCTCCACCCTAGAACCCAATTCAGTGGCTCTGCCCCTGCATTAAACCCTTTCCCTGGTCCTGACACCTGGACTCTGTGCCCACTCTCCTGGGAGGACAACTCTGGAGGGAGGATGGGGGACAGGAGCCCCTTCAAAGGCAAGGCCACCACTGTCTTGCCATGGCTCGGCTGTGGGGAGGGACACAGAGAGAGTTAACAGGGCTATGGAACCAGTGACATTTGGTGCTGTGGACAGTGCCCATAAATCCCAGGAATGTGCAGGAGGACGGAGTAGTGTGAGGCCCAGCCTGTGGGTGCTGTGGGTGTTGGCGGGGAGCCTTTGGCCATCAGGCTGGGGAGTGGGCAGGGGAGCCTCCTCTTTCCTACCCCACCCCCACTTCTGGCAGGGCCTCTGAGGCTTCCCAGCCTTACCCCTGGTTCCCACTTTCCCCCTCATCTCCCTTCCAGATGTCCCAACCCAAAAGACCTCTCCCCCCGCCCCCCACTCTCTGCAGCACCTGTCCCAACCATCATGGACCCTCAAATCCCAGTTTGTCCCCTCCTAACCCCACATCCAGGTCATGAGTGTCACATGCCTCCGCTTATGTTCCCATCCACGTGTGTCTGCCCGACAACCGCCAAGGTGCCACCATAGAGTCTGTTCATAGGAAAGAGGGCAGCTCTGAGGAGGGGAAAAGGAGGCCATGGGATCTGGGGGGCGTCCCGGGGCCTGGCAGCCCAGGCTCTTTGCCCTCCCCTGCTGGCTGGATGAAGGGGGCTCACCCGCGGCTCACGATGAGGCGCAGCGACTCCAGGTTGCCGTGGTAGGCAGCCCAGAGCGTGGGGGTCATGCCGTCCTCGTCGGGGGCGTTCAGCTCCTTCCGGGTGGCCTCCTTGAGGAGCTCCAGGTATCCATCCCGGGCGGCCCGGTGGTACTGATCGTTCATGGCTCCCGACTCGGACGGGGCGGGCGGGGGACACAGGCAAATGCCCCCCGCGAGGGAGGGCAGCGGGGTTAAGGCTGAGGCATGGGGTTGGAGGAGGGGACCGGGCAGGGGCCAGGGCCGCCAGCCCCCGCTGCCGCAGACGGAGGGTGCGGAGCGCCAGAGCCGCGCGGCGATGGGGACATCTGAGCCGCTCACCCGGCGGCGGGTGGCGGGGGAGGGGGGAGGGGGAATCTCCCGCCGCCCAGGGAGCCGCCCCGGGCTTCCCCTGGGTCCTAAACACCCTGGCCTCAGGGGCGCAGGGCCAGTGTTAGAGCAGGTGATCCTATGAGGGCCTGCTCTCTCTCCAAAATGCGCGCCCTAGCGCTCGGCCCGGGGAGGCCCAGGCTTGAGAAGAGCTGGGGTCCGTCCTCACTACGGTTCTGGAGCTGCGGATCCCAATTTCTGCACCTGTCAAAAGAATGGGCCAAGGGCTGGAGAGGGGTGTCTGAGGGCAGGGTGGAGGGGCAGTCCTGAACCCCAAGGCAGTGCACCTAAAGAACCATGAAGACCCACCGCTAGACGGTCCTGGGGTAGGACGCAGCGGTCCCGGCAGCAGCCCCAGCCGCGCTCCAGCAGGGGGCCCCAGAGGACCGGCGGTGGGCTGGGCGCTCGCGTGGGAACTTCACGCCCCAGACTTCGAAGCATCCAGCCGAGCAGCAGAGGGGGGCCGCGTTAGGGACCGGAGAAGGAACTCGATCATTCTCAGGGCAGGAGGGGAAAGAGAGGCTGGCTGGGGTCACGATCTCGGGGTAGCAACCGGGACCACAGGTGTGGCCGGCCTGCGCCGGGGCTGGGAGGCCGTGTGGGCACCAGCGGACACTCGGGCGGCTCTTGAGCGCCCGGTCTGGGGGCTCTGGGCGGGCGCGAGGGCTGCGCTCCGGGCCGCGGTGGGGTGGGGGTGAGGCGCCCTCTAGCAGCCGCAGTGCGGGACCGCGCCCGTCCGAGCCCAGCCTGGAAGGGGTGACAGGGCCCGAGGGAGGGGGGTTGTTCTTAACAGATAAATATAAATCTCGCCTTATCTGACTCCCGCGCGCACTTCCCCAAATTCAGCCCAGAGAAAAGATGGATCATGTGAGTGGGACTGAGAGGTTTATGGAGCCGAGCTCCCGCGGCTGTAAATCACTCAGCGTTCTCGGATATAAAGCGCCTATCCAGCCTGGTGTGGGAGAGAGGAGACGTTCGCCACCCCCTGAACCCCACCTCTGCGCGAGCTCCCAGGCCAGTCAGGTGCGTGCCCCGCGCAGGTGGACGGTGGGGTTTCGGAACTGGGTCCGACGGATGCCGCCACTTCTCTCCTTGGGCGTTGAGGCTCACAGGTGCGGGCTCTGGTTTTCCTTCCCCAGCGCTCCCTCCAGCACGGGGTTAGAACTCCCTGATCCCCAAATCTAGAGATAAGATGGGGACAGGAAAGTTGAGCTCGGTCCGTTCCGCTCCTCTCCCGCAGTGACCCCCGCCAGCCTCCTCGAGTCGCCCCCACCATGTCGGAGGCGTTGGCCCTGGGCCCCAAGGAGAGCGCGCAGGCGCCGCGGGCAGCCCCCCGCGAGGTGTGGAAGAAGGGCGGCCGCCTGCTGTCGGTGCTGCTGGCCGTCAACGTGCTCTTGCTCGCTTGCACGCTCATCAGCGGGGGCGCCTTCAACAAGGTGGCCGTGTATGACACCGACGTGTTCGCTCTGCTCACCACCATGATGCTGCTGGCCGCGCTCTGGATCCTCTTCTACCTCCTCCGAACGGCGCGCTGCCCCGAAGCGGTGCCCTACCGGGACGCGCACGCCGGACCCATTTGGCTCCGAGGTGCCTGGGGGAGGTGGGCGCAGAGGGGAGCTGCAGGCTGGGGCTCTTGGAGGACCTGCGGAGGGAGCGAGGAGTTCCCCGGGCAGAGCTGCGTGTGACGCTCCTGTGGAAGAAGGAGAAGAGTGAGGGAAAGAAGTCCCGGAGGAGGGGGGAATAGAAGGATGGGATTGGAGGTGGGTGCTCCTTTGCCGCGTCTAAGGATTGGAGAGGCCGTGAAGGGAGAGCCTTTGATGGAGATGGAGAGAGGGGCACGGAAGACAGTAGCAACTGAGAACAGCCTTGTCTAGGGCCCTTCTCTCATCTAGGGAGCCCCTAAGAGGGAGGCACAACAGGGCAGCCAAACACTCGATCATGCCCTCGTCCATTCACCAATCCATCTTTCAGACCTTCCCTTTGCTCATTTCCCTATTCATCCATCCATTCATCCACTCTCCCACCCATCCATCTTTCCACCCTCCCATTCATCCCTCCGTCCACCTACTCATTCATACACTCATCCTTCTATCCACCTACTCATCTTTCATTCTTAATGTTTGCCCATTTGCCTATTCATCCATCCTCCCACCCTCCCCATTTATCCATCCACCCAATCATCCAGCCGCTCTGACACCTTCCTATCTAGCCACTCGTGCTCAGAACTTGTATGCCACTCTGCAGGCCTTCTCTCTTGCTTCCCTGACCCTCTCTGATCCCATCCCAGGAGGGCTGGTGTTATTTGGAATCTGCACTCTCGTCATGGATGTCTTCAAGACCGGCTACTACTCCAGTTTCTTTGAGTGCCAGTCGGCCATCAAGATCCTGCACCCCCTCATCCAGGCTGTGTTCGTCATTGTCCAGGTGGGTAAGAGGATTTCCCTGAGAATGGCAGAAAGGAGCCAGTGCTTAGCAAGGGGTCAGGAGACCTGTGCTCTCCTTCCCTGAGCAATTAATTAAGCAGGAAAGGACTGCAGTAGGGATCGTAGGAGTTCATACATGAGGAAGCACGATGAAACGCTGGATAATGAAGTAAAATCTAAATGTGAGCTCCTACTTAGGGGCACTACAATTTTATTCCATCCTAAGTAGTCCTAATAGTCAACACCTAGGAAGTGTGAGTTGAGATAGTTGGTCCTGCCTGCTAGAACTTGGTCTGCCCTCCTCAGGGGCCCTTGGAGGGCAGACTGATGTCTCAGCCCAGGGCATGCTGAAGACATGTCGAGTTTGGCATCAGCATGGCTCCATATTTGGTTTAGGGTTGGTGGGGGGGATTCTGTCACTGAGATTTTCTAAACAAGTTCAATTTCTTTTGTAATCTGTTGCAAAAACACCATTTTGAAAGGTGATCTGATTGAGCTGAGACATGACTGGTCTTACACGGAACCCTGAGAGACAATGGCCCTGTAGCACGACAGAATGACCACAAGGACTGTGCCCTCCCCTGATGCCTGGGTGTCCACAGTTTGACACGCATGTAAACTTGGCATTCCCACAGTTTTAGTTTTGTGCATTTCGTGAGTTTGAAGAATAGTCAGGAAAAATGAAAACACAAACCTCCACATTAAGTCTCCTAGCAGTTATGCACTGGTAGCCAGAAGAGGACAAGGCCTTGAGGGGAACAAAGGAGAGGACGCAAGGGGGATGTGGTCAAGGGCAGTGAGAAGTCACCAGAGACCTCTTCTGCCTTGTGAAGACCTAGTGTGAGGCCGGCCCTGCTCCCGGGAATAAATGACAAGGTAGCCAAAGGCCTACTTGTCCCTCCATTACCCTCCCCCCAAAAAACTCACCCAAACCGGAGTTTTACAGCTGACATTTTCCAAACCTTTAAAGAACTAAGAACCACTATTTTTGTACAAACTGTACCATAAAGTGGAAACAGAAAGTGTTCCTAGTCTCCTTTTGTAAAGCTAAAAGGAACCCAGTCACTAGAAGAAGGTCCACTGGCGTAGAGAGACCATAACCCTGGGCATGGACACAGCTCTCTGGAGCTTAGCCTGCTGGCAGAAAAGTGATCCTCCCTCCCTCTCTCAACACAGACTTACTTTCTCTGGGTTTCTGCCAAAGACTGCATTCACGTCCACCTGGATCTGACCCGGTGAGAACTGCAGCTCAGTGACTGTGCCCAGTGTGTCCCCCACCCCCACCCCCAGGGCTGTCTAGCCTGAGCGTGGCTCCTCCCTCTGCCTCCCGGGTGGGGTTTCAGCCAAGGTCCCCAATTTGTCAGCCTGACTCCACGGCACTGTGCCCTCCTCCTTCCCTGGGTGTGTGCGAGGGGGCTGAGCCTCCGGAAATCCCTGGTCCTCTCTCAAGTGGCATCCTGGCCTTCCATACTCAACTCTCCTGTCCACAAGGGCCTGGATGCCTTCTTCCTTCTCAACACCATTCTCAGGAGAGCTCCCCAATCCCCCACCTCTCTAGGGACCCAAGATGAGCCAAAGACTCATGGGCCTCTTTTCCTCCTTCAATCCCCAAACAGATGTGGACTCATGTTCACGCTCACCACCAACCTGGCCATCTGGATGGCAGCCGTGGTGGATGAATCCGTGCACCAGGCCCATTCCTACGGCAATGCCAGCCACACCCGCCTCACCCCTGACCGTGAGTTCCCCCTTAACCCTGACCCTGTGGCTGCCAGGCCTTGGGCCGGGTGCTTTGTGGATTTGTAGTCAGGCAACTGGGCTGTCACAAGGGTATGGAGTCAAGGGTGGAGGCCAGGGCCCTCCTCACACTCCAGACTCTGCCTCAGAAGTATGGATGAAGGGGACAGGAGAGGGGATACTGGGGGCATCTTCTCATCATTGAGAAGTCCAGGTTTCCATCCCACCAGGAAGGGACCCAGGCTCCCGAACAAAAGGGGAGGGGGAAGGGGAAAGAGAGGCAGAGTGGCTCCAAAGTGGAAGTCTGGGATCAGAGGAGAGACCTGGGAAGGAGGAGGTGAGAAATAACCATCTCATCACAATGAGAATAGAGACAATTGACCAAGCCCTGTGTGTCCCTAATGCTTAGTGTCTTATTTAACCTTCACAACTTCCCTTGGAAATGGATACATTAGTATTCCCATTTAGAAATGCAGAAACAAAGGCATAGAGGGCTTAAGTAGCTTACTCAAAGCCCCAGGGCCTGAAATGGGAGGACTAGTCCTCAGATCCGTCTTTGCTTTTGACCGGTGAGCCACACTAGGAAGAACAGGGTCCATAGGCTCCAGGTCCCAGTTTTCTTGACTTCCCTCAGGCCCCCCACTAGGCAGAACCAGATTGGAGACTAAGAAACCAGCTCACGTCTGCATGAGGGGCGGTAATCCAGGCACAGAAAGTGTGGCCCCAGCTGCTAAGGACAGCCCAGCCCAGCAGGACTGGCCACCTTGTATGTCTAAAGGATCCTAAGGGGGTTAA